GGACCAGGAGGACAAACCACGACGACCACTCCAGCGCCCGTGAAAGGCCCAGGTGGTAAACCAATAAGTATTGTTCCCGCTGGTCCAGGCAGCACACCCGGAACAGTGACGGATTCCGACGGTAAACCAAGTAAATTCGTCGTTCCCAAGGGAGCCTTCACAACACCAGGCTCAATCCCCGGTCCTGACGGAAAACCGCTCCCAGTGAAACCAGCTGGCCCGGGCACCACTCCTGGACTTGAAACCGGACCCGATGGAAAACCAAGTAAGCTCGTCGTTCCCACCACACCGAAAAGGCCACAAGGACCAGGAGGAAGTCCTTTAGGTCCAGGAACGCAATTCCAAACTCCAGGAACAACTCCAACTCCCGTTCCCGGACCAGATGGTAAACCATTACAAATTGTTCCCGCTGGTCCAGGTACCACCCCCGGAACAGTGACGGATTCCGACGGCAAACCAAGTAAATTCGTCGTTCCCGACGGAGCATTCACGACACCAGGCTCAATCCCCGGTCCAGACGGAAAACCGCTCCCAGTTGAACCAGCTGGTCCAGGCACCACTCCGGGACTCCAAACCGGACCCGATGGCAAACCAAGTAAACTCGTCGTTCCAACGACAACCAAAGGACCAGGTGGTCCGATGGGACCAGGAGGTCCAATGGGACCAGGAGGTCCGATGGGACCAGGAGGACAAACCACGACGACCACTCCAGCGCCCGTGAAAGGCCCAGGTGGTAAACCAATAAGTATTGTTCCCGCTGGTCCAGGCAGCACACCCGGAACAGTGACGGATTCCGACGGTAAACCAAGTAAATTCGTCGTTCCCAAGGGAGCCTTCACAACACCAGGCTCAATCCCCGGTCCTGACGGAAAACCGCTCCCAGTGAAACCAGCTGGCCCAGGAAGCACTCCAGGACTTCAAACTGCAGCAAATGGAAAACCGGATAATTAGTAGTTCCAACAACCCCTAAAGCCCCGTCACAATCAGTTGGAGAACTTGGCACTGGGGAAAATCCTGCTGACTCTAGTAAAGCAGTTGGACCTCTTTCTCCAGGAGGGAAAAGTACAACACCTACGTCAGTTACTGGACCTGATGGCAAACCTCGTCAAGTTGTTCCCGCTGGTCCAGGTACCACCCCCGGAACAGTGACGGATCTGACGGCAAACCAAGTAAATTCGTCGTTCCCGACGGAGCATTCACGACACCAGGCTCAATCCCCGGTCCAGACGGAAAACCGCTCCCAGTTGAACCAGCTGGTCCAGGCACCACTCCGGGACTCCAAACCGGACCCGATGGCAAACCAAGTAAACTCGTCGTTCCAACGACAACCAAAGGACCAGGTGGTCCGATGGGACCAGGAGGACCAATGGGACCAGGAGGTCCGATGGGACAAGGAGGACAAACCACGACGACCACTCCAGCGCCCGTGAAAGGCCCAGGTGGTAAACCAATCCGTATTGTTCCCGCTGGTCCAGGCAGCACACCCGGAACAGTGACGGATTCCGACGGTAAACCAAGTAAATTCGTCGTTCCCAAGGGTGCCTTCACAACACCAGGCTCAATCCCCGGTCCTGACGGAAAACCGCTCCCAGTGAAACCAGCTGGCCCGGGCACCACTCCTGGACTTGAAACCGGACCCGATGGAAAACCAAGTAAGCTCGTCGTTCCCACCACACCGAAAAGGCCACAAGGACCAGGAGAAAGTCCTTTAGGTCCAGGAACGCAATTCCAAACTCCAGGAACAACTCCAACTCCCGTTCCCGGACCAGATGGTAAACCATTACAAATTGTTCCCGCTGGTCCAGGTACCACCCCCGGAACAGTGACGGATTCCGACGGCAAACCAAGTAAATTCGTCGTTCCCGACGGAGCATTCACGACACCAGGCTCAATCCCCGGTCCAGACGGAAAACCGCTCCCAGTTGAACCAGCTGGTCCAGGCACCACTCCGGGACTCCAAACCGGACCCGATGGCAAACCAAGCAAACTCGTCGTTCCAACTACAACCAAGCGTCCAGCATCTGGCGTTCCTCCTGGATTACTTTTCCCAACTCCAGCAACCACACCGACTCCTGTTCCCGGTCCAAGTGGTGAACCTGTTCAGATTATGGCAGCAGGTCCTGGTACTACTCCTGGTACTGTGACTGGTCCTGATGGTCAACCAATTAAATTTATCGTTCCTAATGGGGCATTTTCAACTCCAGGTTCCATTCCTGGCCCTGATGGAAAACCAATTCACGTTGAACCAGCTGGACCTGGAACTACTCCGGGAGCAAGGATTGGGCCTGATGGAAATATAAATAAATTATATTTGCCTTCTACTCCTAGTACCCCACCACCTCCTTTAGCAACCACGCCTGCTGATATAATGGGATCTGATGGTCAACCAATACTTATATTACCTGCTGGTCCGGGAACGACTCCAGGAACAGTTACGGGTCCCGATGGGAAGCCTTCAAAGTTTATAGTTCCTTTGGGAGCTTTTACCACTCCTGGTTCTATACCTGGTCCTGATGGAACACCAATTCCTGTAGAACCAGCTGGTCCTGGAACGACTCCAGGTGTTGAAACAAATTCTGATGGAAACGTAAATAAGATTATTTTACCTACAACTCCAAAACGACCATCTCATCCTTCTCCAATGCCACTCACAACCACTCCAATACCTAGTGGGGGTTCTAAACCTATTCAAATTGTTCCGGCTGGTCCTGGAACAACTCCCGGAACAGTCACTGGATCTGATGGTAGACCAACAAAATTCATCGTTCCACAGGGAGCTTTTATAACTCCCGGTACAATTCCAGGACCTGATGGAAATCCTGTACCTGTTGAACCAGAAGGACCAGGAAATAATCCAGGTGTTCAGACTGGACCTAACGGCAACATTGTTAAAATAGTAATTCCTACAACCACTCCTCTTCCACCACCTCCGGGACCTTTGAACCCTGACGGTGAGCCTATCGCACCTTTTGGACCTGGTAATGTACCTAACTCTCCTAAATCTCCTGGCAATTATCCGGGATATTCATTCCAATTCCCAGGTTTCCCCGATGCTCCAGGTTCCGAGGGGCCTGTTGGATATTTAGATTTCAGCCAATTGCCTAGTAGTATGTCCCCTGAAATGGAAGGTGATATTGGTTTCCTTCCCGATTTCAGTCCTGAAATTGGAGGTTCTTTCCCTGGTTTTCCACCAGGTCCAGATAACTCTGGTCCAGGAGGATTTTTAAATGTTGATTCTCTCCCTGATTTTGTGAATCCAGGATATGGATTTCCTGGTTCTCCGCAAGCCCCATTGGGTTTCTTCAACTTTAGTCTCTTACCGGACGATTACAATCCAGGATTCCCTGGTCAGTTTGTTTTCCCTGGTTATCCTGGATCTCCTGGAAGTAGTGGTAAATATCCCGGAGGATTTTTGAGTCTAGATGACTTACCGGAAGATGTTAGGAATATGTTGAATAACACTTTCAGTTTACCCGAACTAATGCATTCTCTACAACCTCTCTTCCCAGGAAAATCAATCAATCCTGGAGCCATTCCAAAAGACCATTTACAAAATATTCCTGGATTCAGTGGTACTTACGATAATCTGAGACTTTCAAACACTGGAGATAACAATAACCCAACCGGAGGTGTGTTCTATCTTCCAGAAATGGTACGACTCATTAGCTATCTCCCTGTAGGATCATTCCCTAATGGCCCTGGTACAGTCAATCAGAACGGTGGATTCGGCCATCCATTTAATTTCCCAGGATTGAATGGCGCCCCGGGATACATTTGTGACTATCCAGAAGACGGCGATGCAACAAGTGGAAGCTCAGAAGACTTGGGAGGAGAAATCAGAGGAAATGGCAATGGCCCTTTGGGTGACGTAGCGGATGCCGCTCCCGGAAGTGATGTAGGTGCTCCATCTCCTACACCAAATACAGAATCTCCTACAGCAAATACAGCAGCTCCTACAGAAAATACAGCAGCTCCATCAGGGCAGAGCGTGAGTTCTTCGCAACTTCAGCCACCGGAAAACCAAGATATGTCTAAATCTGACTGCGATGATGATGTGTTTTCCACCTTCATGAAAGCAAGATCTGCCCTTATGGATGTATCTTCTAGTACTGGAGTCAATACAATTAGCCAACTAACTCAAGACATCATCTCTGGAATCAATCCATCTGAAGACAGCGTTGATTACAATAAATTTTTCAATAAACTTTCATATCTAATTTCCCAAGTACGCTCGGGTACTTCTGATAACCCTAGTACACAACTGTTATCAATCTTGATGGAAGGTTTAGTGGCCTCATTGGAAGCTCTGAACGCCGCGAAGATCAGCGGATTCCGAGACGACTTTTATGTACCTAGCGATGTACCAGTGTATGCATCGTTCCTTTCCGAGATACTTTATTGAAGCAGACGAGCCATTAAAGTGATATAGCAGTTTTTCCAATCAATAACATTTTATATACATGTAAGAAACACATATATAATAGTGAAACTTTGTGCGAACAATTCAATCTTTTGTGTTGTACTAAAGACTTTACAATAAAATATCTGACATTGTAAGCATACTGTTTTGTCTTCATTTCTCTCTCCTTTACAAAAAGTAAATACCGTAAGATGTAGCTCACTTTTAACCCAAAAAATGAAGGTAGAAATAAATGGGTGCACGTTATATGCTGGTTATAAAAATAACAAGCAATCTAAAAATTTTTTTAAAGTCAATTCCTACTTAGGTCAACAAAGAAAAATTTTATTTTTTAGTTATATTTTATCAAATAATTAAAATTATAATATATATATAAATACGTATAAAGATATGACAGAATCACAGTATTAAGTGGCAAAATATAAAAGGATTTTCCTTGCAGTTTTCCATTTTCCTTTCTATGTATATAAGGTGTTGGACTATTGCATTTTTCCTTTTGTTACTATTTATTCATTAATTAAATTTAATTATTCCAGTAAAATAGTATAGTAGAAAGAAATAGTATTCTCAGAAATTAGGCCATCCCAGGTGGGACTCGAACACACGCCCTTTAGATCTTAAGTCCAACGCGCCTTCCACTGCGCTACAGGGACACAACCAGGGATTTTCTTTTTTTATATATGGCGTTGGACTATTATTTTTGTTTGTTACAATTTATATTCATTTTTTAAATTTAATAAATGAAATAATAATTGAAAAAACTGTATTGACATCAAGTGTCATCCACTCCAAGTTTAAAAAAATGCATTTGAATTTGAATGGCTACTTAAAAAAATTATGAGATAAAGTTAAATCACACTCTGTCTCTCCTCTCTATGCCTCACGCATTTTTTTTTATTTAAAGGCTATTTCTTACTTGCCATTCTGAGTGATAGGGGCCGTGGGTAGCCTAGTGGTTAGAGCATCGGACTCCAGTCTGGAAGGCCTGTGTTCGATGCCCGATGCCACCAAATACCCTCCGAGTACACACGGAGTACGAGCTCGTTATATCAGTAAGTCCGAACGTATTGTGGGCGGTCGCAGCAGTAACCACGAGCACAGGGGGCTGAAGAATATTTCCCTCCCCTCCAGTTCCATGCCTAAATTGTGGAGGTGGAGATAAGTGGTGTAGCCATCTATCGTGTTCTGCTGAATTTGCTTGCCCGTAATTTGTATAATTTATAACAGGGTGCATCACATAAAGAAATATACAGTTTTCAATTCATTATAAACAAAAAAAATTTAAGATATTATATGTTATTTGTTACAAAACTAATAGGATTATTTGAAGATTTGTTACGAGACAGTCGCAGATGTTCTGTGAATGGACCCTTAGTCGCTCGACACACACTAAGCCGGTAATTCATTTCCACCTGAACGCGTGTTAAAATATCCGACTACTTGCGACAACTTTTTTTTAAAAAAATGGAGATATGGGGATTTTTGTGTTGTTTCTAGATTTGTTTAGACATTTTAAGAAAACACGTTAAAATGAAGAAGAGAAAAAGAATCATTATTACTAAAATGGGAAAAAATTGGTACAAATTTACAAAAAATTACATAAACGCGGCCCATTCTGTACCAAAAATTTATAAACAAATTTTCAATTCTGACGCGTTGCTATGTTATTCATTTTTGAAATGACCTTCAGGATATGTGATATTTTAATTTTTACAAAAACTAGAGCACTCTATCTTAGTTATTACATGAAATTGCTTAATAGAAAACAGTGATTATATTCGCATAGGAGACTGTAAATTTTGTAATAAAACAGTGATTGATAAATCTGAAGGTTAAAACACTTCTATTATACAGAACATACATAAAAATATTTCAGTTAATTATTTTCAAAACCTTTTTAGCAATCGTTGGCCCCGTTTGAGCATTTAAAAAAAACACACACATTTCGAGTAAAACGCGTTTTAAAGTATGACATCTTGCTTAAAGTAATGGCATCTTCTTTTACTGAAACACTTGTAGTTTTTGTTCTAGTGAGCGGAAAATAATAAACTTGGTAATTTTATAAAGTTAATAAGATGGTCTATAAAATAAAATCATACAAAAATCTGTCAGTTTTTGGCAAAATTCACAATTTTAGGGTTGTGGGATACCTTATGGTATCTGAATAAAGTCCATGGATAGCGGTTACAATACGCGGTTTCAGCTCCGCTACATCAACACGAAGGGCTTATCTTTTGCTTACCCCCACAAGAAGAAATCACAAAGTGTTAAGTCAGGACTTCAAGATGGCTATCGAGTAAGTGGCATGCTGTAGACTGCGACTAGTCCAATTCATCGGTAGGGGGATGATCATCAAAGTAATCTCGCACCTTGAACGAAATTTGAGGTAGTGCACCATCTAATTGGAGAATGAAGTTGTCAATGTCTCCTGCAACTGAGGCATCAACCAAAGAGAGTTAACCGGATACTTCATGCACAGGGTATGTCATATCCACCCCCAAATTTTTTTCAAGATTCGATCGAAACCGTTTTCGGAAAATGAATAGTTTCTCGTATAGCTGACTTTAAGGTCATATCCTTTGAGTGGCCTTAGCTTATAGACGAATTCTAAAGGTATATTTTTGGATACTGCCTCTCCGGGTATGTCATACCCAGCACGTGAATCACCGTTACATTTCTAAATAAATGAGTACGCTTTAAAATATTTCTTGTGCAATGACGTATTATTACAGGTATGATGAAGAAATGTGATATTTAAGTAATTTAATAGACACAGTATTTGATAGATATGATATAACAGTATTTCCTGATGAAGAAAGACTCTTTGCGGGGATGATGAGGAAGAATCGAAACATGAAGTGTATATCAGCAAGTATGATTTCTCTACTGAAATCCATCCAGATAATTTAACTGAGGGAGCAATTATCGTCTTTGATAAAATGACCTCATCATATTCAATGGCTAGAAAATGTAATCGTTAGCCTATTATATATTTTTTGCGTTGTTGAACGTTGGGACAATAAATACGCAAATTATTTTGTTAAGTATTCAGAAACCACCTACTAAACATTGAACCAGACACTGATTTCTGAAGTGTTTTGCATTTCGATTTACATAAAAATGCAAAGAATGTAGAAACTAGCAACTAATGCTTCTACGAAATTCAAAAAATAAATAAGATCTAGTGAACACATCGCACTCACTCGCGACGAAGACTAAAGGAGTGTATGAACAGTGTAAAACAATAGAGCATGTCTAAAAAGTAGAAGAATTTTTATAATATCAACCAATATATAGATTCTAAATATTCTATTTTCATCAAATTCTGCCGGAGCATAGGGCGATAGCCAAGTCTCAAATTTTGCAGTGCTATCACTGTGCTGAACTGAACTGAACTGAACTAAAGTACGAATTAAAAACAAAAAATGTATTTCCTTTATTTATTTGAAATACCGTAAGGGAACTATAATAATATTTGAGCTAAAAAGGAAGATGGGGGGGGGGAGGAATGAGAATTTTCTTGCACTCTTGGCAGATGTATTCTCAACAAACAGCCTTGTTGCACACATGCTTTGTTATTCTGCACTTAGTAGATGCACAGTAAGTACACATTCTCAGTTTTTTTCCTTTCAAGAATGGATAGACGATTAGATGAATGTTTAGTTATGTAGGATTAAGCATGACGTTCGACGATTCCTGGTTTTTACCTTACGTGGATCTTTGTCCTTCCTTATATCGAGTAAAAAGAAAATAAATAGGTAAAAGGACTAGAGCATAGGTTCTCAACGTGGGCGATAACGCCCCCTTGTAGGCGTTTGAGGCTTTCAGAGGGCCGTTGAGAGGGCCCGGAGGGGCTTGGGCAGATTAACCAAAAAAGACTAAAAAACTGATTATGTACTAACAAAATTAAACTTTATTACCGTTTGCTTATGTTGTTTGTATGTATTTAAATCATTCCATATCCCATGTACGAAAATTCAGTTATTTCGGTAGTGCGGGAAGTGGATGAAAGACTTAAAAAAGATTACATTACATTCAGACGTACATTAAACTGAATGATATAGTGCATTTTAATTTCTGTAGTGCACGTGTTGTCTTTGTCTGTGAGCGGTGGGAAACATGTTTCATCCACTGCATTTCATTACATATATTGTCCAAGAAACATAATTAAATATGTTAACGAGGAATTAACGTGATTCTTTAATGGCTGAAACTGTCAATTTATATTTATTTTGAAAGCAATAGTTTATTATGAATTACTTCGTATCATCTAAGCCCCTGCCTGTCTTTATAACAGGTAATCTAAAAATCTTTTATTCCACTATTTTAAATGAAGAAGAAATTCAGTAGCGTTTCAATTCCGACAATATCCTATCTATGACTAAAATAGATAATATTACACATTTAAATATATGTGTGGCTATAGATATTTCAGATTCGCAAGTAAGAAAACTGGGACTTTAGAAAACAAATGAAATTTAAAAAATATATTCTTTTAGTAATAGGATATTTTTTAAAACTGAATTCTTGTTTTCACCATGTATTATGTACATTCTTATTTCTCTAGAGTGGGAGGGGGTGGTATAGAATTATTCACTAGAAACGGGGGCGATATCGAAATATTTATTAGAAAAGGAGGCGCCAGTTCAAAAAAGGTTGAGAACCTATGGACTAGAGATTACAAATAAGAATTTATTTAACCATTCTTTGAATGATTTTTTTCTTTTTCTTTTCTTTTTTTTGTGAGATAAATCAGGATGAAATAATTCATGTTTCATCAGGGTGAAATTTTTTTAAAACTAATAATTATACTCTGAGGGGGGGATTACACCCCCCCGAACCGGATAATTCGGTCGTTTTATAGAAACAAACTATTCATAATATTGTTATTGACCATTTAAGAACACTAAATGAAAGAGTTATTCATTACTTCCAAAATTTAGGAATAAAAAAAATTTATTGGATTCGTAATCTATATGGGAAAACAGATGCATCTGTATATGAATTTACTTTGAATGAAGAGGAATAGCTGATTTTTCTCGGTAATAACCAAGATTTAACTTCAAAACATTCGGAAGTGTCAATTTTATTTTGGATTAAAGTTAGAGGTGATTATCTCTTAATAGTCAAAAAAGCTTCAAAAATATTTTCTACATCTTATGTGGGTGAATTCGGATTTTCAGCATTAGCAAATATGAAAAGGAAAGAAAAAAAAAAGATTGAAACTTTTAAATGTAGATGACGAAGCGAGAGTGGCATTTTCATTATTACGACCTAATATAAACGAAATTATCAAAATTCATCAAGCGCAAATTTCGAATTAAGTGTATTATTATTATTAATTTTTAATTAATTACTCAAGCATTCTGTTGCCTTTGTCGTACATATTATTTTATTTAACATTGAAAGTTATCATAAAATATTTTATATAGTTTATTATAAATAGATAAATAAAATTTTTTTAATTTTTTTTTATTTTAGCGTGTCACTAAATTTTTAAACTGTTAAAAATGTACCACAACAAAAATAAGGTTGAGGATCATGGCTCTAGATTAAAGGAAAAATGTTTGAAAAATAATAATAAATATATAATATGCGAGTAAAATAATTTAAGAAACAGTATGATGCAAATATTCATCAGTATGCAAATTTA